TACAGCTTCCTCACAAGGGGAAGAGGAGGAGTAGGCGCTGATCTCTTCTCCCTGACGACCAACGATAGAACCTGAGGGAATGGCAGGACGATATGCCAGGGGAGGTTTAGGTTGGACATTAGGAAAAGGCTCTTCACCCAGAGGGTGGTGGAGCACTGGAACAGGCTTCCCCAGGAGGTAGTCATGGTGCCAAGCCTGACAATATTCAAGAAGCATTTGGACAATGCCCTCAGACATATGGTGTGAATTTTGGGGTTGTCCTATGCAGGGACAGAAGTTGGACTCGATGATCCTTGTGGGTCCCTACCAACTCAGGACATTCTGTAATTCTATGAACTAGCGTTCACAGATGCTACAACACTTGAAATAAAATGTGAGCACTAAGGAACCAAAGATAAAATGAAGAAAAGGACTTCAAACTCCTTCCAAGATGTTGAGAATGACTGTTCTCTGTGATTATGGCATCATTTACAGAAAAACAGCCAGCTGTGATTTAAAGTTTTTAAGAGATGGAGGACCTACACGTCTCCCACTAGAAGGCTTTGTGTTGACTTCGGATTAATCTTCTCAGCCTTCCTAATTCACTCTCCAGTTTTCCAAGAACACCACAAAGTAATACAGACACCACAACATGCTATCATGGTCAGATATCACTTCTATAATGACACAGAAGTTATGTTAACCCTACTGCCACAGGATTAGAACCAAGAAAGGCACATATTTGTGCATCTGGTCTCCTAAGATATTCCCCAAGCAACTGAATTCCAGGAGGCAGGTGACCATGGTATCAGCACAACCTGAATACTTTGATGCAAAATTTAAGGCCTTGCATATGGTGGGTTTTGGTGCATTTTTTTCGGGCATTAGCAGAATAGTAGCATTTTTCCAGCTAGTATTCTAAGAAACTTAAAAAAAAAAAATCATCCGTAAACTAATTGTTTTTCCAGTCAAATTTTGTAGGTTTTTTTGATGCAAGTTATCTTTATATTGTGTACTTACTAACACTTTCAATTAAGAAAAGAGAAGACGTTCATTACCCTGAACATAACATCATTTCTGTCCAACTGCAAGAAAGACATTGCAATCAAATAGTTTTGCACTATTTTTAATTTTACTATCTCTGCTAAGCAACAGCTAGATTTACATAACTGTCAGACTCCACTGATCCCTAGTTAACTTTAACTATGCTTGTCCTTAGCACTACAAATTTTTAGCTAATGTGTAAGAGCTCTAAGCTTCATTACATGTAACTGATCACTCTCAGTGTGCATCCCTGTACACATCAATGAGTAGTCCACAGCACTGTGACTCAGAAGCTGAGAACCACTTAATTGCAGCATTAAAAATAGTAGGAAATCAAGCAAGGAAGTCAGAGCCAGATGTAACACTTGTGTCTGGGAGTGGATTCAGTGTTGATTCACCTGATGAAGTGTGGCTTTCCACACCATCTTTTGCTAAAGTTAAGTAACAGTTCTGATTGAAAATTTTTTTTCAATGTTTATAATGTTTCCAGGCCTATCAGCTTCCATATATCCAATATAAAATTGAGAAGCTGATTTCAGCCAAATAGTTCTGCTTCAGGGAAAACACTCTCCGGTCTGGTATATTTTTAGATCTAGTCTTAAACAAATCTCATATCTCTGTGGTTTGGATCAAGGACTTCAAATTCAGCCAGAGTTTTCAAAAACTGTATACTTGCCCATGAGCAGAACAGCAACTTCTGACAATGTTAAAACAGAACTGAAAGAGCAGGTTAAGGATTGGAAACAAAACATTATTCAGCAACATATTTGTCCATCATACACAAAGTCAATATTAACTGTCTTGTTTCCCATATAAATGTCACAGTAATTATATACTTACAAATTTCATAAAATGATAATAGAACGGACAAGTCAGTGAATATGTCTAAGTAAAGAAATGTATTTATTCTGCTTAGTAGATAGAACTAGAATAAATATTGGTCAATGGCAACTAGAACTAACTGAATTCTTAGATCTAAAACAAGCTCTACTTTTAAGAACAGAATTAAGCTTAACTGTTGCACTGAGGAGAAACAAGGAAACTAAGTCATCAAAGCTGAAATAACACTGTTGCCTAATTCTGTTCAAATTGGGCAAGTTCTAAGTCTTCTCATAAAAAGCGAGTTGACAGAGTCAGTAACAAACTGATTAAGTCTTAGCAGCTACAACTTTCTACAGTTCCATCTGTTCTGTACATGTGCCATCCTGGGTCTTTGCCAGATCTGAGGACCAGGACTCTCTTCTGTATTGTCAGTGACAGGACACCCCTGCTGTGCTCTGTCAACAAAGAAGTAGTGCCTGTTTGAATGCGGAGGTGACAAACTTGGAACCGTGTAGGATACAATTAATACAGACAGCCTGGTAAATAGAAAATGAGATTGCTGGTCAAGAAGAATAGAAAACATGGATGAAAAAAACAGAGGCGTGGGAACATAGCCAAAGCGTTATATAATAATACCACTGGGGGAAACGAAACGTGGCAACTTTCAGAATATTTGTTGAAGAAATGAAAACAGAGTGAACACAATAAGAAAGAGTCTAACAAACAACTTGGAAAAAAAGTATAAAAAACATTTCAGAATAAGGAATCCTACCAAAGAATCTGCAAAGACAATAGATCAAGTTTTAAGAGGCATGCTCAGAGACAGTTGCTCTGCAGAAATATTTTTGTTGGTGTTCACCATGGAATAGCATGGTAAAGGTCTTGCATTAGAGTACTTCTTCACGGAAGACTCAAAGGATCTGTTTCAAATAGAAGTGCTGGTAGAACTTAAAAACAAATTAACAAAATGGAGGAAAAAAAAAATAAAAGCTAATTGCCAGAATGAGAAGGTATTTACTCCTTGAGCTCTGAAGGAATTATTGATGTTACTGAAAAATGTAACAGCTAAACTACTCAAGATCGTATATAATCTCTCACTTAAAACTGCCCTAGTACCAGTGGTTAACATAATCACTATCTTTAAGCAGATTCTAGAGCAGATGTGAGAACGATAGACCAGTAAGCCTGATATTTATACTCAATAAAGTGGTGCTAGTAAGTCTAAAACAATTAGGGAATAAGTGAGTAAATATGATATAGTATGGAAGAGTCACCAGGGCATTTGTAAAATAGTTACACTTCACAAATCTAACACAGTTTTTTAAGTGAAAAAATGTCCAGAAGAGAAAGTTGGTTGGCAGCCTACTGAGTTTCAAAAAGACATTCCCCAAAGCCTCTTAAAGAAATTAAGCCACGCTGCAATAAGCTAATGTCATTCTGTGAATAAATCACTGGTGAAAAGACAGGAAATAATGGTAGGCCTTGATGGTCAGCTTTTGCAGTGGATGGAGTACCCAAAGGAGCTCCATGGGAACCTGTTCTGGGACCTGTGCTTTTCAACATATTCAGGAAGCAGATGTCCAGAGATGCTACTCAGAACTGAAAAGATGAGGGTCAACTGTGAAAACATGCAGGACTTCTCTATTGCAAGTGGCTGGGAGATGAAACAGGAGATGAAATTCAGTGTACAGAAGCACAAAGTGAGACAAAAAGGTAAACATGCTTCTGAATTTACATATACATCAGTCTCTGAGTTGGCTATTATCACTCACAGATAACCCCAAAATGTTAAGTTAGACACACACAAAAAAAGTAAAGTCGTGCAAAGAGGCAGACTATCAGGAATTGTCAGGAAAGAAACAGGCACAAAACCCACCATTAAACCACTCTACAATTGCATGTTGTACTGAACTCTTCCGTTCTGTTTCCTGATCCCAAATAAAATATAGTTCAAACCAGAAAAAGTACAGAATGTTACTGAATATCTCCTGTACAAGGAACAACTAAATAAAACAGAATTCTTCGGCCTAGAGAAGAGACAGCTGAGAGGTGCTGCGCTCTCTCTGCAGCACTCGGTCACATAAAGAGGAAGCAGTTGTTCCCCATGTCTTCCACTGGGACACCTTGGTGAAACCACATGGAAACAGATGGCAAATGACAGGTTCAACTTAAACAAAAGGAGACTGTTCTCCACATTCCAGGTAATTAAGCTGTAGACCTCTTTGCCTTAGGCTCTTCTGAATGTTAAACGCATTCATAAGCATATGAAAGACTGGGCAAAATTTTAGAAGTAAAGTGCATCCAGACCCACTAAATTCAGTGATGTCCCCTCTGGTTCAGGATATCCCACTGGTGGTTTGAAAACTATCACTATGGGCTTGCTCTGTATATTTTTCTCCCTATGCATGTGCTATTGCCTCTGTTAGAGGCAAGAGGCAGGGCTAGATGGACCCAGTGTGTACAGCTGGGTTTGCAAATGCTGTTAGGGAACAGAAGAGAAGAAGAAACAAGACTGGCTAAAGAGACTAAGGGCACGAAAGGAAAGAGACAGAACGTGACACAGGTAGTATAGTATGCAGGAGGGGTCTATAGGGCATAACTGGAAGGGTTTTGATAGGGGGAGGGCTGCAGGACTGAGTGTAACCTGTGGCAGGGCGACTGGAGAACAAAAAAGGGGAGAAGAGGTTTCACAGAGGGCAAGGAGCGTTTTCCCTAAGTGTGTGTGCTTGTTTCAATACCAGAATCAGTAAGTAATTAGAAGTTTGTTAATTGACAGTAAATTAAGTTGGGAAATTAAGTTCTGATTTGAAAAGTTTACCTCCAATTAATTGAGTTTTTTAAAACTACAAGTATTTTTCCGTTGAATCTCCAGGATTCTCTTCCTCTTACCAAATGAGTGTTTGGTGGACATCAATACCTTTACCTTCAAAGCCCCTGCAGAAACAAGGGATTCTGTTCCCTGAAACCGGCCTCAGTAGTGTTGAGTTTGGGGAATGGAACCTCTTAGTCTGTTTTTAGTAATGTGTCAACTCCTGAATTTCATGTTTGTTTCTATATAGGGTATAATCTACTGTTAAGTAGGAGTACAAAGAAGAAGATAGTATGAGTTTAAAAACCAAGTAAAATATCAAAACGAGCAAGTGTTATGATCTCACCTGGAGTAAGTATGAGCCAGGGGTATCTGCACTGGAACTCTCATTTTGTATCGTATTCTGTTGGGTAATAGCATCCTCCTTCTTTCGCTCCTTCTGCCCTGCTTCATCATCTTCATATTCATCAAGGCTCTAAAACCAAAAATTTTCAGTTACAAGATAGTCTTTGTGTGTTGCTTCACATACTTCCCACATTTCATAAAATTCATGCACCAGTAACTTTTTTCCAAGACTAATTTTATATTTCAGAAAAGTTTAATTAATGTTTAAATGTTTTTTATTTTCATGGATATTGGTATCTCCAATACAAGAGTAAAGTTTGACAACTAACTGCTTTTTCTTAATCACAAAAAAAAGAAATAATCAAACCAAGATCCAACTTGACAAAGCCCTAGGCAACATTGTCCAAGTTCAGTGTTAAACCAGCTGTGAGCAGGGGCGTGGACTACACCTGAGGTCCCTTCCATCTGAATGACTTTACAATCCCATTTGTCATAAGCAATAATTTTACCTCTATATAAGAGATTTTGAGGAAGCACAGAAAAGGGGCGGAAAAAAAAAAAAAGACAGACTTAATTGTATTCTTCACTCAATAGCTGACCTTTTTTGACACATCTGTTGAGACTAAAATGTCAGACTGAATCAGCCATCTTGATTTTGCTCTCCCTGTTTTTGGTTTTGTCTTTGAAAATTTTCTATTGAAAATCAGTAATTTTTAATTAGTTGGACAGCCATTAATTACCAACAATTTACACTAACACGTAACATTTTGGTTCTTCATCACAAATGCTTCATACTAGATTTACTGAAATACTTGATTCGAAAGGATTAAGTTTCTAAAACACTGGCTGCTGACAGGTGAGACAGGAAAATAATTCAAAAATAAAACATACAAAAAAAATCAGTAACACTGCCTCTGTTCTAGCTTAAAGCCATGCTGAGGCCACAGTAGGAATGTGAGGACTTAGCCAGCTTTGGACTAAGTCAGCCACCTCTACATTGGTCTATTAGTTTATCATGTACAAATTTACATAAAGAAAAAAACACAATCTCATGTTTAGAAGACCAACTTGAAGAGATATGAAGCTCCAGAAAAATTGACCACAACATCACGAGCTGTTTGCCAGCACTCTGCATGGAAACAACAGGTGTGTGAGACCTAGTTACCAAAACACAGGGAACTAACCATGCTAAGGTATCAGAAAAAGCTTCTAGGTGAATGTGCAACAGCCGGAGAAGCAGAAAACAGGGCTACAAGAGGACAAAGATGAATGACAAACTGCTTCAATGGAAGTTTCTAACGCACAAAAAACAAAAGTCACTCCTCTGAGGCTTAGATACTGATGATCTCTGACATTATCTTATCCAAAGGACCCAAAACTAGTCAAAAGCATATAATGAGAATGCCAGAATGTAGCATTTTTTAAGAAGCAGTGTTATTCACTAACTGAAAATCACACTAGCATATAAAAAACTAACTTTGGCTGCTCCAAAGCAAACACTGTGGTGACAGAAGTGCTAGAAAACTGACAAACTAGAAAGGTGTACGTTTCCAAAAGTGGACATAATAAGGTGAACTTAAGTGAACCTGAATAAAGGCCATTTAAATTCTCTACAGTAGCACTCATGGCAGAACCCTAATGCAATTTCACCAATCTACTTCTAACCAACATTTTAATGCAATTCATGTAGACCTGTCTACTTCTGTCACTAAGAAAAGGCATACCTGAAAGACTGTTACAGCTGAATCATTATACATTCAAAAACACTTTCAATAAATGGTATTTTCAAATAAAATAATTATCAATTAAAAAATATTTAATTTGGTTCTCTCAGGCCCAGTTTCAACAAGGCATTTAAAAAAAACTGTCACAGCACATTCTAGGAGGTGATCTTTAAATCAACATCCTCTACGTTTTATAAACTGTAAAGCTTAAAAATGTTGGTAACATAAGCTTAATTCGGTATCCTAATTTATCCCATTATACCAATAATCCATTCTGAAGGGACAAAATAAAAAATAATGAGCCACTACCATGACAAGAATTTGAGTGGTCTTCAGCTCTTACAAAACCTGTCTTGTTCAGAAGCTCACAGCAGATCTCCCAGAAACTAAGACTAATGTCATGCAGATGAATGATACTGTGTTAGAAAAATAGGAAAACTTCCATATTGTTCTTCCAGCCTCCAAGTTGTTCATGTGAGAGAATGAAGATCCCGGATAAACTCAAAGAGATAGTTTGACATGAGTCTGGAAAAGCAGCCTCTAATAAGCGTAGGAGAAAACCAACTGGAGACAGAAGAGACCAGTAACCTTCACACACCTCAAAAAAGCTTGGCATTTTCAAGGAACAACATTCTTTAAGGAGAGCATAAAGCTCGAATTACAATACTGTAGGTAAAAAAACATCTTTGTAGCAACTAAGTAGACAAGTGCTCCTTTCTTCACAAATTCTCTCCTTCAGATACATGTTTCTCATAAGCTTTCCAGAGACCATCAGCATTCCACAGAAATGTTTTTCTCTGAATACAATTACATCTGTGAGGAAGAATGTTCTTCTCTCTTTCGATGCAAGATCACCTGCTACTAACTGGCCTCTTAGCAGTTTCGGACAGGAACAAAATGTCATCATCTGATACGAAATTTCCAGCCACAAAATTTTAAACAAAGCATTTTCAGTTAGGATTTGCCAGCGATGCCCATTCCCACCCTTTCCCTTCTTCTCAGGAAGGTTCAAAATCACAAAAGACTGCAAATCAATACCACAAAAAGGTATTAGACAGCCATCACCACACACCCACCGCACCACTCCACCCAC